ACAAGTGTTGTTATCGGTTGATAGGGAACATTTTTCTTTGCGGATCGAACGCTCCAATCTTGTAGGATCTGAGATGAAATGTAATTTCTCCTTGCTGCTTTTGGTACTGATAGGTATGTATGTACCAGAAAGAAAAGAAAAAAATTTCATTAAGTAACTATAACAGTAAATAAAACCTAGACTAAACCTATTAATCAAGTCTAGTGGCGAATCCTTGCTCCCCAGCAACGTCGCCTAATTTGATATCATTCAAATGTTTAACCCTAAGGAGTGAATTACTCTCTCAAATAAGAGGTTCAATTGTAGCACTTAGGGATCGAATCCATAGAGAGCAGGAGCACACAATAGACTATAGAAATCAAAGTTAAGCTAGGTAAACAGTTTATAAAACAGTAAATAAAAGCAATGTGAACAAGGTAGTTGTTCGATTGGTTGAGTTTGTAAGCAATAAAGAGAAATAGCTACACCTAGGGATTTATCAATAGAGAGATTCATAAAAACAATTCAAGATGCTAACAGCTATAGATTCATTCTAGAACTCTATTTTAATAAGTAAGTAATCCATCTATCAATGCAATTACTAATCAGATGTCTAAGTCCTTGTTCCACCTTTCGCATGCGAACAAGAAGTGAGTATCGATCGATACTATGGCCTGAGTGTCGATCGATATTACCTCAGACAAGCATTAACGACCTAATCGATTATTTTCAACTAGATTCCTAGACCAAATTCTCATATGCGCCTAAGTATCTAATCCAGCAGGATTTGGGTTCCGATAATTGACTGCACTTTCGTGCATCTCAATTGTCCTATGATTCTAGATTCAAGCAATCAGTCACACTATCATGATATCCTAATTACTCCAGATCCTACTAATACAAATCATCCTGGTGTAGGGATCTATAGATATTCTAGCAACCCTAATTGATATTTAGTTTAACATTAAGCTCATGAAATCCCTAAACCTAACAAGATGAACTACTCAAACATGATAGAAGAAACACAAATCATAGTCTGAATAAAAATAGAATAAGAAAATAAAGATAATTCCAATGGAGTTCCAAGAGGACTCTAAAGGAGTTCCCCTCTTCTCTCCTCACTAAGAACAATCAAAACAAAAGATGAAAAGAAAGCGTAGGTAGCATAGCCGTCAACAATGGCTTGCAAATAACATAAATAGGGTTTCTGGTCGTCCAAGGGCATTCTGTTAATTAAGGTTTCTTATGGGCTTCAGTTGGTCATGAATATACTCGGCCTGCATTCTGGCATCCATATCGATCGATATGAAGTGTCTCTCATCGATCGACATGCACATATCTTCTCGGCAGCTTTCTCTCGCGAGGCAGACTGACCACTCTTCAGTAAAACGGGCATAACTTCTGATCTAACCGTTGGATTGACCCCAAACCGGTGGCATTGGAAAGCTAACTCAATGATCTATTTTGTGTCAAAAGATCAGATACAGCGCACCATGGTAAGGTCTCCATCCATATCTAAACATCTGACGCGTCTGCGTAGTTCTGCACGAAAAGGCTCCAAAAGACACCAAAATCACCATATTTCTCCAGAACGTACCTTAGCCTGTAAATACGCTAAATAGACTCTATATTGTAGTAAATATACATAAAAACATATCAATACCATAACCAAAAGTGGGTCAAAATCATGGTATATCACTCATGAATAAAGATAAGCAGGTCGTCAGCAAAGGAGAGGTGGCTTATCGTCATTGACTGCATTTTGCAAGGTAGTTTATTTACGCAATTGCTGCTACTTGGTTTAGCATCATTGAGAGGCAATTTCATAGCTATCACAAATAGGTACGAAGAGAAAATGTCTCCATGTTCTAATCATCTTCTTCCTTTAAAGTAGTCATTCACTGATCCATAGTTACCAACCATGAAGCTTGTAGTGTAAATACGGGATTTTAATCCAGATATGAACTTCTGAGGAATCTAAAGACCCTGCAGACAAGCTTCAAGGTCATGTACATATGCATGACCCATGATGCAAGTTTACATATTTTAACTTGATCCAATCATTAAAATATATATTTTCTATACATTTTAGTTATTTATTTATTTATTTACAAAATAAATATTTAATTAACAAATATTTTTATAAAATATTTCATGCTTGAATCTAGGGTGGGCATTTTATCTGATACCCGAAACCGCACTTGAACTCGACTTGAAAAACTTAAACTAAAATCTGAATTGAAGTAGTAAAATATTCGAATGGGTATTAAGTTAGGAAAGACCCAAACGGGTAATATTTGAACCCGAATGGGTATCAGAAGATAACCGAACATATATATACTTATCCTAATATTTCTTTTTTACATCTTATTTTATTTAAAATATTTATATTGATGTTACACATACTTTAAGATCATATAGTATATATATATCATTACGGAGAAAAATGGTTTGATATTCATTTAAAATGTATGTCAAACTTTTTTTCATGTATTAACAAAAGTGACATCTAAAGTTTAAAAACAATAGCCAAATTAATATATATTTTCTCTTGAAATGTTATCTCCAAATCTATTAATCATTCAATCTATAAAAAATAAAATGAATCAGTAAAGTGAAATATATATTTTTAAATACAAGAAACTTAAGAGATGAATATTTTTTTCTTTTAAAATCTAAAATCTGAATCCAATCCGAACTAATCGAACCCGAACTAAAAATACCTAAATCTGCCCCGAAGTCCAGGAATATCCAAATGGGTTCTATATCCCCCTATACTCAAATATCCAAAAATCTGAAATACCCTACTCAAACCCACTATTCGAACGCTCACCCCTACTTGGATCATTACCTAGTTCATCTAGTATGATAATAAAAACTAGGATAAGACCCGCGCCTTGCGCGGGATGAAGCTATTATTTTTATTATGTTTTGAAAAATGAAATAATAGTTTGGTTTCATTCGGATTAGAGGTGTTCAATCCGGATATCGGATTTCGGTTCGGCTCGAGTTTTTGGTATTTCGATTATTAAAATATAATTACTATTCTAAATCTATATGTACTTCAGTTTGATTTAGTTTATATACCATCGGTTTTCAGTTTATTCAATTTTATACCAAAACACATGATTATTTAGTTTGAGATCATATTATATATTATACAAATATATAATATGATCATATTTAGAGTCATATTGTCGCAGAGTCATTTATTAAAAAAATATTATATATTTAAAGAAAAGAATAAAAAACAAAAAAAGCTTCTATCATCTAATAAAATGATCAAATCAAGAATTAATATCAAAACATTAAATTTTGAAAATAAAAATAAAAAACAAAACAGAAGCATGAAAGAGAAAGTTTTTATATTCTTCCATATTTAGTGTTCATCAAACCAATATGTCTTCGATTGAACACAACTCTGTTTGTTTAAAGATTAAAAAAAGTTGTAAAGAATTTCAACTAATTGTTGTCCATCAAATTTATAATATTTACTTCAATTTAGTTACTGTTAGAAAAGCAAAAGATCAAAATAAGAAATCTAAGTTGTAATAAATTGTTAGCTATTTACAAATCATAATTATAGTTCAACTCATGTAACAAATATATATTCATGCGTCGTTATAAATATATACATATAAATAATTACATGTTTCAGTTTAATCGGTTATAAATCAAACCATATCTAAATTCTATGGTTTTTATAAAATCACATTCATTCGGTTTGTATGGTATATACCAAAAATAACCATATTATCGATTGTTAATATCTTTTAAAAATATAAAATTAAAAAAAAGAACTAAGATATTTAAATCATTGATAACAAAAATTTTCAATGTGAAAAATTTAATAATTTTATAATTTATAAATGTTCTTGAAATTTTATTGAGGATTTTGAAATTAAAATATATATGTAATCTTATATGGTATATAGTTTAATCTGTATATATATTTTTTTATTATTGAGTGATACTTTTTACTTATATGGTTTTAAAATCATGTATATCTTTTTATAAGAAAAATATTAAACTATTGATCATTAATTTTTAACATAATAATTTTAATAGTTTAGTTATTTATTCTCGTTTTTTTAAATTCAAAATATAACCAATACGAAAAATCTAAAGTTTAATTTTATAGCTAATTTGATTGTTTAATTTATTTTGATAATATAAAATTAAAGAAAAATGATGAAGGATATATAAACTGTTATCAACTATTTATTATTAGAATCATTAAGTGTCATATATATATATTAGTCATTTATGGTAATTCCGTAGGTTTTATTTATGGAAAGAAAATAAAATAGTAATTATATTTAGGGGAACAATATAAATGCTCTATCATAAATATCATATCATCATATCATATAATTTGACCAAAATCGAATGTGGACCTACTTATTTTTAAATTGAATGTAATTGACTACCTAATTGATTGACACCTAAGCATGGGGTCTTTTTTAATTATTACAAAATTGAAGTTACAATTTTTTAAATGTTTCTCTTTTAATATATAAGGGATGAAAATGGTTTATCCCTGCAGGACTTACTGTGCAGTCTGGACAAAAGCGTGGGAAAATACAACTAGATTTTCATCACGATATGGCTCTTACAGTATTCTTCGATTCGCCAAGCCCCATGATCGAGGTTTTATCGTTTATAAACCAAAGGCCATTTTTTTTTGTCAACCGAAGGACGATTGGTTTGCAAAATTGATGACACTGACCCATTATCCCAAAACTCTTTTGGTCCACCACCACCTGCCTCTGCTTCGCTGTATAAGTAATCAATGTCATTTTCTGAGTCCACATTTGACAAATTCAACACTATTAGTGTGAACAAATGAAAAACAACATTTGAGTTTTGTTTATTAAATTTGACTTTTAACACTCGGTTTGATGCGTAGCGTATGTACATGATTCGCGACGATTATCAAAAATAGATATTTCGGAGAGAAACTTGTTTAAACAGTACGTAAATACTAGAGACAAAGATTTTGCTTTAATCTTATAAGAAAAATGAAGAAGAGGAGTTTGTTTCCAAAAATACTCTGTTTTGTCCTCATAAGCTTTGGTGGTGGTTATTCAGTTTCAGCACAAACATGTTTGAATAATGGGAATTTCAGATCCAACGGCACTTACGACGCAAATCGCAGACTCATCCTCTCCTCTCTTCCTTTCAACGTCACAGATCAAGATGGCTTCTTCTACAATGGTTCGATCGGTCAAGAACCGAACCGTGTCTATGCAAGAAGGATGTGCATCCCAGGATCAACTTCGGAGGACTGTTCTAATTGTATCAAGAACGTATCTGATGGTTTGATACAGAGTTGTCCTAACCAAACAGAAGCATATTGGTGGCGAGGTGAGCCCACGCTTTGCCTTGTCCATTACTCCAACACATCTATCTCCAGTTCAGCAAATCTGAACCCGCGTGTAGTTCTCACAAACACAGGAGATCTAACCTCAAATCTAATAAATTTCAGGAGGTGAGCCCACGCTTTGCCTTGTTTTACTTCTCTAAGCTGATCTTCAATCCAGACATTCTATCAAACTCCTCCAAAAATTTCAATATTTACTCTACTGCTCTTCTCGCGCCCTCAATGAATACCATTAGATCATCCACAAAACATAGGTGAGTGATTCCTATCTTTTTGCATTTAGGATGGAATCCAATTAGACTTCTCAAAGCTGCTTCATCTAACATCTTTGAAAGTACATTCATACAGATAACAAATAAGTATAGCGATAAGGAAAAACCTTTCCTTGGTCCTCTCTTATTTTGAAAGTATCCAGCCAGCTCTCCGTTTACTTGAACAGAGAATCAAGGAGTAGTGACACAAATCGAAATCCATTTCATAAACTTTCCTGGCAGATGAAGGGCTTCCAGAGTGTTGAGGAGAAAAGACCATTGTACTGAATCGAATGCCTTTGATATATCTATCATCATAGCACATCTTGGAGAGATGTCATCCTTGTGGTAATCTTTTGACAATTTCTGTTGCAAATAGCACATTTACCATCAGCAGCCTCTCCTTAATAAATGCCGATTGATGCAGAGAAAATAACTTAGGCAGTACTCCTTTCAATCTATTCGCAATAAGCTTCGACACTACAAGAAAATCGAGTATTAATAACAACGGGAAAACGCTATGTAACGATATAATAGCGGTATTAGGTACGCTGTTTCATCGGCCGCGATAATAGGTCAAACACATTAGATAGCGGTTTTCTACATTGCTACCGTAATATGTTTTATATAGCACTTTTTTGCATGCAATTAAATCTTCTTTAATAGCAATTTTTGTNACACTACAAGAAAATCGAGTATTAATAACAACGGGAAAACGCTATGTAACGATATAATAGCGGTATTAGGTACGCTGTTTCATCGGCCGCGATAATAGGTCAAACACATTAGATAGCGGTTTTCTACATTGCTACCGTAATATGTTTTATATAGCACTTTTTTGCATGCAATTAAATCTTCTTTAATAGCAATTTTTGTTTGTTATTAATTACCTTATAAAAATTAAAAAAAAACAAATAAACTAAAATTGATTTATAAATTAAAATTGAATTACAAAAATAAATTAAACCTAAACTTAATTAAACCTAATGTAAACCTAATCTTCTTGTACCGGCCTCCTCAGCTTCTCTGTCGCCTCCTCACCAAGCTTTAAAATCTTGCTGAAGTTGTTGCAGATCTTCCTCATACTACTTCAAAACTTGGGAAGAAATAGAGAGAACTCTCTCACCACAAGAACAACACCATCTCCTCCATCACCAAGCTTTAAAAATAGAACAAAAAAGTAACTAAAACATAATCTAAGAAGATGAATGGCAAATAAAATAAAGATACCTTAGCTTCAACTTCCTCTTCTTCTTCCCAATCATCTGTGACCTCCGAATCTTCAGTTGTTTTATCTGCCATAGCATGTAAGTAAAGACCAAACAATATTTTATGACCCAGCTTGTAAAGGATGAGACAAGGTAACATAGAGGATCAATGTCGCGAATTTGCAAAATCTATCAAACCATACTAACACATCAAAAAATTGTGAAGAGGTTTCTGATATAGAGCAATACAAGTAGTTTTATGAGAGATTTCAAATATTTCTGTCACCGTAGGTATCTCAACACAACTCTTAGGAACATAAGATCAAGTGCGAGATAATTAAAAATAGACTGGTTTCACGTAATCAAAGTGAAACAATCTTTTGCCTTTAAAAAAAAACAGAACTTTAGGCGTGAGACATTTTAACAAACACCTTAAAGACACGAGATAGGGAAAGACACAATAAAGAAGAGAAGGTTTGATCTTACAATAAAAGGTGTCATTTTCATGGCCCTTACTGACGGCGATTTCCGATGGCTACCTCCATCTTTATCTGAAACATTTAGATTCCTCAGTCTCTCATATTTGTCGAAATCTTGGCCTTGCCTCCTCCATCCTTAAAACAAATAAACCAGTTCAAAATAGAGAGAGAGGCAGAGACTTCCAGAGAGAGAGATAGAAGTTGAACCGTGGTGTGTGGTAGTCGTCGTCGTGATGCTGGGATGGAGATGTGTGACGGACTGGTGGTGGTGATGTTGGGACGGCGAACGAACGGAGGTCGTATGGTTGTGGAGGTGATTGAGGAAAATCGAGATTCAAAGGAGAAGAAGAGATGAGCTTAAGATCTGAGAAAAGAAAAAGGAGAGATATCTCGTGACAACGAAGAAAGAAAGAGATAGAGATGTGAGATTGCTTAGCCATAGGATCAAAATAATCAATGGTCAAGATTGTTATCCATGTGCTTGAGAGATTGGCCAATGAGAGAAAAGGAAAAAAATAAATAAAACATTAATTTCTGGCTCTTGGATTGAAATCAATCAAAGGCCAAAATTAAACCATTAGAAAACTAACTTTCATTTAAGATACTAATAATTTATATATAATTTCGACCAAAAAAATATATACAATTAATTTAGTTATAGTTTGGGTTTAATGTTTCAAAAAATGGATTGAAATTTATATTTTTAAGTTATGATTCAATTTTATAAGGGTTTGTACTATAATTTAGCTATGAAGTTTGAAAATTAGGGTATGAGATATAATGATTAATTATAACTTTTTCAAAGTGATTAGATTTCATTTTTCTTAAGAAAATTTATAAAAGGACATTTATGTAAAGTACAAACATAATCTTTTGGGTTTTGATTTAAGATTTTAAACTTTTGATTTGAATTTAAGTAATAGAAAAGATTTAGATTTGTAAGATTTTTAGTTTTAATATAAGATATATGATTAATTTAAGATTAATTTTTAAGTTTGGAGTGTAGAATAAAGGTTTGAGTGTATGGTTTGAAAGTTAAAGGTTTGGGATATTGATTTAAAATTTGAGATTAATTTTTTAAAAATATTAATTTTTTGAGTTTATATTTATTGGTTTAGATTTAAGATTTGAAGTTAAAATTTAATTTTGGTGTTAAAATATAAGAGTTTAGAGATTTATTTTGAGTTTAGAGGTTGTGTTTAAAATTTTGATTTTTAGGGTTTAGGGTTTAGGGTTTAGGGTTTNGGGATATTGATTTAAAATTTGAGATTAATTTTTTAAAAATATTAATTTTTTGAGTTTATATTTATTGGTTTAGATTTAAGATTTGAAGTTAAAATTTAATTTTGGTGTTAAAATATAAGAGTTTAGAGATTTATTTTGAGTTTAGAGGTTGTGTTTAAAATTTTGATTTTTAGGGTTTAGGGTTTAGGGTTTAGGGTTTAGGGTTTAGGGTTTGGGATTTAGAATTTTTGGAGGTAAATAAAATGGAATGAGAGGGAAAGTGAAACAGGGTGAGAGGGAAAATCAATTATTTTCCCGCTTTAGTTTTGCATAGCGTTCTAAAACTAAAAGTGCTATGTATACAATGTTTCGTAAAAGTGATTACGAAACTAAAATTGGAATAATTAAACACAGCGTTTGCATTTTCGCAAACGCTATCTATAAGTAAGAGGTATGTCAACCATAACACAAAGGAAAAAAACGCTATCCTGTTCTGCTATTAATACTCAGATTTCTTGTAGTGCGAGACTATCTTGAACAAAACATTACAGCAAGAAATAGGTCTATAATCCTTCATTATCTTAACTTCATCTTTCTTAGGCATCAGAGGCAAAATAGTTGAGTTGAGCCCCTTAAGCAAGAATCATTTCGTAAAAAAGGACTGGATAGAAACAAATACATCAACCCCAATTACTTTCCACGCTTCTTTGAAAAATTCTGAAGTATAACCATCCGGTCCTGGTGATTTATGACTTAGCATTTTAAAAAGAACATCCTTGATCTTCTCCTTGGTAACATCCTTCTATAATTTCTCACAATCAATGGCACTACACTGGAATTTTAATAGATCTCTCAGTCTTTCTACTGTGGTCCCTTCAAAATCCTCAGGCTGAGCAGACATAAACTTTGCAAAGAAACACAGCTTCTTCTTTAATATCTTCATCTTTCTTTGCAAGGGTTCCATCCTCGCCAACTACTTCTTTGATTCCATTGTGCACTTCTCTTAAGCTTCGATCTCTGTTTATCAAATTCTTCCTCCAAAGTATCTCTAATGGTTGCTGGAAAAGGCATTTCCAATGTAAATTTTTTCTTCTTGCATAAGATCTTATAAGCTTCTCTAGTTCTCTTAGGAAGATTACCCAACTTCTCCTAGCACAGTGATCTTAACGATTGTTTTAAAGCCTTAAGCGTTTTGTAAGTTTGAGCATTGCAGCCGTTGAGTGAAAAAGTGCATCATACCCTTTCCAATATTTTCCCACCAACGGAATGAATTCCGGCATAGTCGCAATAGGTTTGGTAAACTAGAAAGGTCTTCTTTTCTTCGTTTCAACTACTTCCAATTGTATTCTACACCTCAAGTGATTAGAACCATCACCAGACTCAAAGACACTGTAACCTCTCGATGTGTGAGGCCAATTCTCATTATCAACACCCTGTCTAATTTCTTACATATTAATCCATCTTCTCTTTTGTTACACCAAGTGAACTTTGGCCCCTGATAACCCATATGCGTGAGACCACAGTATATAGCAAAATCTTGAAAATCTCTCATACCCAGTGGAGTTCTCGGTGAAAACTCAAACTCAAAGTGCTCTTCACCATCCAAACGCCCTTAACTTTAAGGCTATCCCATCCAAAGGTGCTGCTAAATGGAAAGATCTTATCAACGAGTAATCCTAATGTGGGTGGATTTGGCCAAGGGGATGCGGAAATAGTACTTCAATATCCATTACGTGTCCAAAGCCTTTTGTTCTTCTTAGAATCGGTTGTTCAGGCACAAATCTTTTTGTTTCTTGAAAAGGAACAGTTTGAGAAGGTTCAATTATCCGAAATGAATTTTTAAATCTGTCTATTATATTTATCAAATTCGTAAAAAAGAAAGAACCAAACAAAATATCAAAACCCTTTTTGTCTCTCGAAACATTTCATTTCTGAGTAGAAGAGCCGTTT